GTTTCCTGCTGAAAATGCATGCAAATCTTCCTATCATAACTTCTAGAATTACAAATCTTGACCTGGCCTGTACTGCTGCGCAGGGCCCACACCTGGTGCACTTTTCTTTGGTTTTATTTTGTTGGTTTTTTTTTTTTTTTTTTTTTTTTTTTTGCGAAACTGGGGATTGAACTCAGGCCCTTGTGCTTGCCAGGGAAGTGATTATTCCACTGAGCCATCTCCCCAGTCCTACTGGTGCACTTTTCTGTCCTTGTTTTGCTCTGCTCTGTCCCTCAGGTCTTGGTCACGTCTGTGAGCTTTTCTTGGACCATGGCTGCTGCATTTTCTATTTAAATATTTCTTCCTCAGTGAGACCTTCCCTGTCCCATCTATCCCCTCATATTAATATTTCATTTCAATTAGCAATAGCTGCACCTCAGATAAACCTCATTGACCATGATACTGCCACTGCACAAAGCTAATATCTTATTGTATTTCATTATTTTATTTATTTATTTAGAGACAGGGCCTGGCTATGTAGGCCAGGTTGACCTCAAATTTATGGTGAGCCTCCTGTCTCAGCCTCCCAGATGAGACAGATTACAGGTAAGTGCTACACTTGGTGCTACACTTGGCTTTACCTTTGGTTGAGACAGGGTCTCTTTACCTAGCTCCTGCTTGCCTGAAACTCTTAATCCTGCCTGAACCTCCCAAGTGCTGGGTCTGTAAGTTCATACCACCATGCCTGGCTGACTTATTTTCTTCATTGCAGTTTACTAAATAATCTAATGTCAGTTAACTGGATTTCTTTAAAGTCTAAGATGTCCACTAGATTGACAGCTCCATGAGGGCAAGACTTCCATCATTCTCCCATGTTTTCTGTTCCTAACAGTGTTTGAATATTTATTTATTTATTTATTTAGGCAGAACCGGGGACTGAACTCACGCCCTTGTACTTGCCAGGCAAGCGCTTATTCTACTGAGCTATCTCCTCGGCCTTCATTTATTTATTGATGTTTTTGAGAAAGGGTCTTTCTATGTGATCCAGACTAGTCTTAAATTTACTATGTAGAGGGGCTGGGGAGATAGCTCAGTAGAATAAGCACTTGCCTGGCAAGCACAAGGGCCTGGAGTTCAATCCCTGGTTCCGCCATAAAGAACATGTAATCAGATTTTAGATTTTTGAGACAGGGTCTTGCAATGTAAAAAAAAAAAAAAAAAACCTTACTATGTAGTGGAGGTTGGCCTCAGACCTGCAGCAGTCCTTCTGCCTCAGCCTCCTGAGTGCTAAAATTATAGGTGTGTGCCACTACATCCTGCTAAAGTTATTAAATGGAGGAGCATGAACGCCAAAGCACCTGCCCTCACATATAGCCTGGACCTTCAGATACGAAATCATACTTCCTTGCCTACATGGATGCCGCAGAATTCTACCTCCATTACCATTTCTTAACTCCTTCTGGACTATCCACCGTTCTATCCAAGCAGAACGGTTTGAACAGCAACACTGGTCTGTCTCCTAAGATTCTTTGACTTCCCTTGCCTTGCTGTTGCCAACAACTTGGGTCTGGTTCTTATCTACCCATAATCAAGATTCAGAGCCAAAAGACCAAACTTCCAATTCTCAATAAATTCTGACCTCCCCATTCCCAAGACATGGCCAAAGCTTTGCCAGGTAGTCTTTCCCCTTTGCCTAACAAGCAATAAATTCAGCTTTATCTTATCAATAGCTTGTGCCATCTATATTTGGAGTGCTGCTTTGTATATGTGTGTATGGTGCTGGGACTGACTCCAGGGCATTAGCGCTGAGCCATCACCCCAGCCCTTTGGGTTTTGTTTGTTTTTGTTTGTTTGTTGTTTTGGGTTTTTGTTTGTTTGTTTGTTTTGTTTTTTTTTACTACAGGGTCTACAGGGTCTCACTACATAGATAGGACTCACAGTGATCTGCCTGTGTTCAGCCTTCCAAGAGCTGGGATTACAGGCGTGAGCCACCAGGCCCAATCTCAATCAACATCTCAGCATGCCCTGGAGGTGGGGTAGCACAGCACACAGGTATCAAACCCGGCCACCACCGCTGCATCTGCCTAAGCAGGTGCTTTTTTTTTTTTTGGCAGAACCAGGGATCCAACTCATTTCACCGGCCCTCCAGCCCTTTGTATTCCCCCCTCCCCCATGCAATAAATTACTAAATTGCCCAGGCTGGGTTTGCATTTTCAATCTTTCTGCTGCAGCCTCCCACAGCTCTGGGATTATAGGCGGATCACCACACCCAGCATGGAGCGCTACCTTTATTTCACTGCTTCCCAGCCTTTTGACTAAGATTAAGTGTGGAGTGCCAGCTTTTGACAGAAGGAATAAAAGCCACAGTAAAGCAATTAAAGAATGCTTTATTGCTTGAGGACATTAAAAATACCCTCAATAAGACTTCCATGCCCAGATATGGAAGCCTGAGACAAAAGAACAATCAATAATAATTTTGTTCTAGGGGGGCTAGGGAGATGGCTCAGTGGAATAAGCACTTCCCTGGCAAGTGCAAGGGCCTGAGTTCAATCCCCAGTCTTGCTAAAAAAAATAATAATAATAATAATAATTTTGTTTCTATTTAAAATTTGGGGGGCCAGGGAGACAGCTCATAGGCATAAGCACCTGCCTGGCAAGCACAGGGTCCCGAGTTTGATTCCCAGCACCACACACACACACACACACACACACACACTATATATATATATATATATATATATTTTTTTTTTTTTTTTTTTTAAACCAGTGATTGAAGTCAAGCCCTTGCACGTACCAGGCAAGCGCTTGGCAAGCGCTTATTCTACTGAGCCATCTCCCCAGCCCCTTATATTTTTTTAAATAATCAAAATTAAATAAAATTTTATTATTGCACTCACTTCTACAGCTTACATACTAAAATTTTGTGGGGCTTTACACTCTTTTAAAGATGCTGCAGGCTGGGCCAGGGAGATGGTTCAGTGGAATAAGTGCTTCCCTGGCAAGCTCAAGGGCCTGAGTCCAATCCCCGATTGGGGGGTGGGAGGGGGAATGCTGCAGGCTCAGGATACAGCTCTGTGATAAAGTGGCATTGAGTGCCACTCACTCAGCACCACAAAAACAAACCTGCACTTAAACATTATTAGCCTTGAGTATCTTTTCAGCACCCTTAAATAATGTATCCAATGGAAATGCCTCACATATTTTGCTCTCGTCACAGTACAGATATTGCAAAAGGGAACTAGATATGCTGTTGGTATTTACAAAGGCCAACCAGAGAAAGGTAAAGAAAAGGATGATACGCAATCTGCCGAGTCTTTGTTATGGTATGAAGTCAAAAGACAAGTAAAATAATTGAAGAAATAGCATATATCTATATCTATATATTTAGGATAACTAAAAATAAGACCTGGGGATGTAGCTCAGTGGTAGACTGCTCGTCTAGCATGAGCCAAGGCCCAGACTTCAATCCCCAGTAACACCAAAAAACAACACCAAACTATAACTTGTGAAAAGTGGCTGCCTCTAAAGATGGGGAACTTGTTTTGTATTCTAAGTCCTCCCGAAATAGGAGTAAATGAAAAGTAGGGAGGAAGGAGACAAGGGAGTTGAGATTTTAATATTGTACTTTTAAGAAAAACTGCAGCTTCAAGGGAAACATTTGTTCCTTGCTTGTAGAGGCCATCCTAGCTTGTAAACTACCCTTCCTTATTTATAAAACAGTGTTAAATTCTAAATATCCTTTGATAATGGCACTAGACCAATCAAATTGCCTTTCCCTCTAGCTCAGGAAGCGGCTGGCACTGCTCAACAGCTTTTCTGTACTTCAAAAGCATTTAGAGGGCTGGGGAGACAGCTCAGCAGAATAAGCGCAAGTGCAAGGTCCTGAGTTCAATCCCCAGTACCGCAAAAAAAAAAAGATAAAATAAACAACAAATGCCATATTTAGTGACAAGTAGTCTAAAAAAAAATTTTTTTTTTTTTTAAAAGAGCATCTAGACGCAGGTAACGGTAGGTTCGAAGGTAGGTTTGAAAAAATTTCTCAGACCATCTATCTTGGTTTCGGTTTTTTTGGGGGGAAGGTGATGGTACTCAAACTCACGACCTTACGCTTGTCAGATTAGCACTGTGCTACTGTCTGTCCTTGGCCCTGAGTCATCTATCTTCAAGATACCCCTTTAAATGTGCCCTACACCAGCAACTCCACTCGAGTGTATACTGCACCTCTAATAAACTTTCTCATATCTGAGGCGCCCTGAAAATCCTCCGCAACAAGTGAGCGAACCCACAAACTTATTTTTAAAAGGTTAAATTCTTTATTTCAGCCGCAAGGACTTCACAGACCCAACCTGGTGTCCTTCCTATACTAGGACTGTTTGGAATGTGTGTAGTTACTGCTTTGATGACGATAGCAAAAACAGACAAAAAAAAAAAAAGGTCTAACTCCAAAACGTCTAAGAACTTTCAGTTCAGAGAAAAGAAGTCTGGATTCCAGGGGAGACGGCTCGGAAAAAAACGCACCCCACAAACCCGAAAAATCTCCGCAATCCCACCCGCAACCCCACAGCCAAGCCGCGCAGTCTTCGCCTTGGGCTGAAAAGGACGCCATTAATTTAACACTAAGTAATGGTCGGTCTACTCCCATTGACCTTCGTCCCAGTCCCTTTTTCTCCAGTGTGGGGAAGATTCTGGGAACCCCCTTTGGCGTTTGCTCCTAATTCCGCAAATCCCATTGAGCCCTCAGACCTCGGCCCTGAAATTCCATCCCCCCCTCACTTCCGGGGAGGGTTTAGCGCGTGGACCGGAAGCCTCGGGCCGGCGACTCCCCCCCCCACGACGCAGGCGCAGTTCCGCCCCCGCCTCGCGGTCCTTCCCCCTCCCAGCCCTCCAGCCAGCCAGTTCAGGGCGTCGCCCGGGCCTCGGTGCTCTCTTTCCTCCTCCTCCCCGCGAGGTCACGTGGCGCGGGAGAGGCGGGGTACCGAAAGACTCCCCCTCCCTCTCCGGAGAATTTCTTGACCTTTTACCTGGTGTTCCTGGCGAGGGGGCGCGTGGGGTTCGGGGGCCGGGGATTCGTCCGCCCGGTGGGCGGTCCCGGTGGGCGCCTCCTCCTCCTGCTTCGTGTGGCCCCGGGCGGCGGTCGGTCACGCGCCGAGGGACCGCGCAGGGAAAGGGGCGGGGCGCCGGGGCGGGGGCTCGCGCCGTCCTGGGACAGCTTTTAGGGCCCGGCCGGAGCTGGAACTGTAGACTTGCTCTGTCACCGCTGCCGCGTCCGTCGTCGCCGCAGATCCTAGCCGACACCATGAACCCCGACCTGCGTAGGGAGCGGGCCGCCGCCACGTTCAACCCAGAGCTGATCACAAACCTTCTGGACGGCAGCCCTGAGAAGACCCAGCGCCGCCGGGAGATCGGTGAGAGCGGCAGTCCGTGTCCCTCCTCCGCCGAACAAGGCTGGAGGATCCCGCGATGAGGCGTGGTGGTCTCCGTAACCCTTAAGGGGCCGTCCTCTCGCGCAGCATTAGGGGAGCCAGGACCCCAAGCCTGTGGCAGGGGTGGGATATTGCCCTTCCCGAGCTGTGCCCATGATTTAAGCCTGCTGTGAGTCCCCTTAGTGACCTTTAACTTTTAACACCCTTTCAGAAAACAAGATTCTCAGCGACCCAGACTTCCAGCATGAGGATTATAACTTCCTCACTCGAAGCGAGCGTTACGACGTGGCTATCAAGAAGAGTGCTGTCATGGTGAAGAAAATGAGAGAATTTGGTATTGCGGACCCTGATGAAATCATGTGGTTTAAAAAGTAGGTATGGCTTAACACAGCAAGTGTCATGAGCCCAGATTTTGTGTGGGTGGCCTGTGAAGGCCTTTTGTCATCTTGTTTGGTATTTGAAGGTCCAAATGGCATATTTTCATGCCACCAGAAAGTTTGACTTTTGTTTCGTGCCTGGCGATTTGAGACAGAGTCTGCATGTAGTAGTCCAGGCAGGCCTTGAACTCAGGATCCTCCTCACTTCAGCCTCCCAAGTGTTGGGATTACAACAGGTGCACCACTTGAAGGTTTTATGTGTGGAAAGTAATGCAATAAGTGGGATGATGTATTTGTAGAATGCTGATTATGAGTGGAGATGCTGCAGTATTCATTCTCTGAAACTCAATGTCAAGGATATTATTTAAAAATTATTTTTCTTCAGCATCTCAATTTTATTTATTTATTTATTTATGATTTTTTTTTTGTATTTAGTATAGGGTTTATAGGGTCTCACTACACAGATTGGACTCATAGTGATCCTCCTGTTTTCAGCCTCCCAAGCGCTGGGATTACAGGCATGCGCCACCATACCTAGTTTCAATTGTCTCAGTGAGCCCTGGGGGTGGGGCTCCCACGGCAAACCGGGGATCAAACCACCGCCTCTTTGCTGTGCCTAAGCAGGTGCTTTAGTCCGCTGAGCTATCTGGCAGGCCCAGCATCTCAATTTTAAATGCAAAAAAGAAGACCTGTTAAATTTTCAATTTTGGAAAGATTTTTCTCCCTTGTGAGACCAAACATTTAAATATTTTGGGAAGGTGGATATATTTTCATATAACAGTGTGGGTCTTGAGCTTAAAATAATAAATATGAGAATAACTAAAACAGAACATCAAACTAAAGAGTAAATGTGAATTACTCTAAGAACTCAGCTTTGTTGGATATAATGACAGCATTTATTTCTTTTGTGTGCAAAAACCTGCCTTAGTCCTAATCCTGTCTTTTTTTTTTTTTTAGAGCACCCATTTTGGTTGTGCTTTGGGTTTTATTTAGAGAAACAGACTTTTTTCTTTTCATCAACAAAGATAAAATTTGGGGCAGAGATGTGTGGCTCAGTGGTAAAGCACACACCTAGCAAGCATGAGGCTATGGGTGTATTCTCAAGCACTACCAAAAAAAAGATTAAATTTTTTGATTTGTGTACTTTGAAGAATCAAGATAAATGAAACATGTTAGAAGTTCTGCCTCTGTGTATTAATAAATTTTCTTCCCTTATTGCCTCTACTGTATCTGCTTATCTGTTTTCAACTTGACTTGGTTATTGCCACAAAGGTGAAGTGGTGCACTGTGACCTTAGAACTTTCCTCAGAACTCCATTCACTTTGATTATCAAAAATAGTTATTTACTTTAAAAAATAGTTTTTGTTTTTGTTTTAGCGGAACCAGGGATTGAACTCAGGCCCTCGTGCTTGCCAGGGAAGCGCTTATTCTACTGAGCCACCTCCCCGGCCCCAATAGTTACTTATTTTAAAAAATATTTATTTTTAGTAGCCCAAGTCAGAATACGTAGCAACTTTCCAATGTTCATTTTTCCCCCTAAAGTTTATGACTGGGGATATTGACATAGAATAAATCCTTTTGGATTTATGTTACCAAATGATCTGAGTTAGGTTTGTAAAAATTAGGAAGAGCTTGTGCCTTCTTAAAATGAAATTGGGGGCCAGGGAGGTGGCTTAATAGAATAAGCGCTTCCCTGGCAAGTGCAAGGGCCTGAGTTCAGTCCCCGGTTCTGCCAAAAAAAAAATGAAATCAGAGGGCCGGGGATATAGTTCTGTGGCATAGCACCCGCTTGGCAAGGGGTGCTGAGTTCAGTTCCTGGTACCAAAAAAAAAAAAAAAAGTCAAACAAGAGAGAGGCTGGTGTTTTGTTTTTGTTTTAATGGGGCAGGCATCTTATTTTCAAATTAGTTTAGATGATTTTATAACCTGTGGTAGTTCCTAGTATGTAACCAGACTTAAGTAAAATCATGGTGAACTGGAATAGAGCCCATTATGTAAGCTAAAGATCCACGGACTTTAGCCAGTTATGGGTTTTCTGTTGTTGCTGTTCTTTTTATTTTTGAGACAGTAGCTTGCTGCATAGTCCAGGCCTTGAATTCACTGCAGCTCAGACAGGTGGCATACTCTTCTACCTCACCTCCTGAATGCTGGGTGTGCCCGGATTACAGGTTGCGACCAGCCGTCCAGCTGTTTTGTGTTCCCTTTTTCACTTGAAATGTTAAAGTACAACCTTTAATACACACTTTGACACCCTTCCAATGCCCCTAGGATGAGACAAGGAGATCAGTTTAAGTCAGAGTAAACTAAAAATTAATCTTTGCAAGTATTGCAAGCCATCAGTCAGCCTCCAGCATGTAATTCCATTGATATTATAAACTCATTGATTATAACTTACATCAGTGTTTTATTTAACAAAGGAAAACATATTGTGCGATGAGTTGAATTTCTTGAATGCTAAAATTGGGAGAAAAGTGCTAGAATTGATGATATACAGTAATATTTCTGAGGATTTGAAGCATTTAGCATACTCATTTATATTCTTATTCCAAAGTAATACAAACCTATTTTGAAGTAAATTCAATGTTAGTAAAAAAATACTACAATTCTTAAATTGGTGCTTACTTCAGCAGCATGTATACTAAAGTTCTTAAATTGAATAGTAAAAGAAGATTTTTTATAGTCCTTTAAAGAAGGACACTTTGCTGTTTAGGGAATATGAATGTTTTCTTGATCTTTATGGTAATTTTGGCTTTTAACTATACTGTTTGCTATGAAAACTAAAATGTTTAAGAGTACTTTGAAATAAGGGTCAGTTGTGTTTTGTTATCTTTTTTAAGTTTTTAAAGCTGGTTCTTTGGGAGTAGGGGGTAGCTTGGTTGGATTCAACCCCTAGTACTAGCAAACAAATAAATGAATAAACAAAATATCCAGTCAGTAAAACAAGTAACATAAATAACCTGTTGCTTTAGATTGAGCATAGAATTTTGAAGTTTTTTTTTTTTTTTTTGAGACCAGGTCTCTCTGTGTTGTTTAGGCTAACCTTGAGCTCACTTTGTAGTCCAGGCTGGTCTTGAACTTGGAAGGATCCTTCTACTTCAGCCTTCTGAGTGCTAGGATTACAGGCTTGCACCACCTTGCCTGGCTAATTTTATTTTAATTAATTAATTTATTTTTGAGACAGGGTACTCAACTATATAGTTCGGGCCAGCCTTGAACTCAGTATGTAGCTCCGGCTGGCCTCAAACTCATGGGGATACTCCTGCCTCAGTCTACCAAGTACTGAGATTACAGGTATGTGCTACCACACCTGGCTTTGAGCATGGAATTTTAAAAGGAATTCTAGAGACTGGAGCAAGGCTCAGTGGTACAGCCTGTGTTCAACATGTGTGAGGCCCTGGGTTCAGGAGTAAAAAATAAAAAGAAATTCCAGCCTAGAGATGATTAGGGTGCATACAACCAGATCCTGCTGCTGGCTTTTAGATAGTAAATGTTTTTTTACAAAAAGGGGGTTTCTGTTTTCCTAAGCATCCCAAGTACTATTTGGCAGCAACAGAAATAGGATGTAGTTTCTAGAGGAAGGCTGAGACCCTTTTCTTTTCTTTCCTATAGACTACATTTGGTCAATTTTGTGGAACCTGTGGGCCTCAATTACTCCATGTTTATTCCCACTTTGGTGAATCAGGGCACCACTGCTCAGCAAGAGAAATGGCTGCACTCATCCAACGGACTTGAGATAATTGGCACCTACGCCCAGACGGAAATGGGCCACGGTTAGTCCACATCTGAGGGTCTCTGGGTAACCCACCTCAGGATTTTTTTTACCCCTGCTGCTGCTACGTGTTTGAGATTTTATTTTTAAATTGTTACATCAAAAGTCAGGTTTTCTTTTTCTTCTAGGTCATAACTGCATAAATTGGTCCAGGGCTCTAGCCAATAACATCCTTCAAGGTTAAGTCTTAAAGTGTTTTATCACTGTCACATGTACCCCCATTAACAGGTGCTAAGCAGTTTGGAAAGATGCGTTTGAATATATCAAAGCAGAGCCAGGGTTGGTGGTACACTCCTATAATCCCAGCACTTGGGAGGCTGAGGCAGGAGTATCATTATCAGTTTGAGACCAGCCTGGGCTACAAAGAGAGCTCAAAGACAGCCTCAACTGTACAGTGAGATACTGTCTCAAAAAGACCCCCCCAAAAAGGTGTCAAAGCATCCTGGTATATTCTCATTAAAGATCTTGTTGGAAATTTTCAAAAGGTTGATACTTCAGCAATCTCTGAAAATGCCTTTGTGCTTTTTTGAAGTCAAAAGCACGGATTTTAGTGAAGACAGGGTAATGGCAA